CAGGGGACATCGGGACCTTTTTGGGGACACTTTTGGGGCAAAGGGGCGGGGCCACCGCTAAACCACGCCCACATCCTGACGTCATCATTGCAGTCCCACCCCCCCCTCGGGCGCCGCAGTGCGCCGGGAGCGAGCGGAGCCGAAAAGAGGCGGAAAGAGCCGAACAAGAGGCGAAAAGAGGCGGAAAAACCCGAATTAGAGCCGAAAAGATACGGAAATAAGCGAACCGGGAGACGAAAAGAGACGGAAAGACCCGAACCGGGAGACGAAAAGAGACGGAAAAACCCGAACCGGGAGCCGAGCTCCAGAGCCGAGCGGCGGCCGAAGCCGCGGGCCGGAAAGAACCGAACGGCGCCGGGAGCGAGCGGAGCCGAAAAGAGGCGGAAAGARCCGAACGGGAGGCGGAAAGAACCGAACGGGAGGCGGAAAGAACCGAAGCGGAGCCCTCACGGAGCCCCGGGAGGGTCCGGCCATGCCTTGAAGCGGCTCCGTCCCGGGATCTTCATCCTCGTTCTCCTCCTCCTCGTCCTCCATGGCCCGGGCTGGAGGCTGAGGGGCTGAGGAGACTCCGAACTGGGCCAAACTGGGCCGAACTGGGCCGAACTGGGCCGGAGAAACGGGAACGGAGAAAGGCGAAGTTGTCCCGGAAAGAGGTGAAGCGGCCGAATTGGGGGAAAGAAGCGAAGAGGGGGCGGAAAAAACCGAACGGGAGCCGGGAAAAAACGAAGCGGGGCGGAAAAAAAAACCGAAGCGGGGCGGAAAAAAAACCGAAGCGGGGCGGAAGTAACGGAACCGGAACGGAAGTAGCGGGAGCGGAGCGGAAATAAACGAGCGGAACCCCGGAGAGGGACGGAAAGAGGCGAAGGTGTCCGGAAAGAGGCGAAGGTGTCCGGAAAGAAGCGGAGGGGTACGGAAAGAGGCGAAGGTGTACGGAAAGAGGCGAAGGTGTCCGGAAAGAGCCGAAGTGCCGCCATGTTGCTCTCGTTGCTGCTCGGGCTCCTCGAGGGTGAGTTCGGGACCCCAAAAATGTCCCCAAAATGTCCTAAAATGTCCTCAAAATGGGCTCAAAATGTGAAAAAATGTCACCTGGGAGTCTTCAAGGTCACCTGGGAACCCAAAAAATGTCACCTGGGACCCCAAAAATGTCCTAAAATGACCCAAAAATGTCAAAAAAATGTGAAAAAAATGTCCTCAAATGTCCCCAAAATGTAAAAAAAAAATCCAAAAAATGTCCCCAAATGTCACCTGAGACCCAAAATGTCCCAAAAATGCCTCAAAATATAAAAATGTCCTTAAAATGTCCTTAAATGTCTCCGAAAGTCCCCAAAAATGTTAAAAAATGTCCCCAAAATGTAAAAAAAATGCAAAAAAAGTCCCAAAATGTCCCCAAATGTCCCAAAATGTCCCTCAAATGTCCCCAAAATGTAAAAAAAAAATCCAGAAAATGTCCCCAAATGTCCTAAAAATGTGAAAAATATCCCAAAAAGGTTCCCAAAATATTTAAAAAATCCAAAAAAGTCCCAAAATGTCCCCAAAATGTTCCCCAGGTCCCAAAAATGTGAAAAATTGTCCCCAAAATGTCCCCAAAATGTTCCCCAGGTCCCAAAAATGTGAAAAATTGTCCCCAAAATGTCCCCAAATGTCCCGAAATGTCCCCAAATGTCCCAAAAGGTCCCTCAAATGTCTCAAAATGTAAAAAAAAATCAAAAAAAGTCCCCAAATGTCCCAAAATGTCCCCAAAATATAAAAAAAAAAAAAACCAAAAAATGTCACCTGGGACTCTTCAGGGTCACCTGGGACCCCAAATTTTGGGGATTTTTGGGAATTTTTTGGAAATGTTGGGATTTTTTTTTGAATTTCGGGATTCTTGACCCTTCCCCCATTTTTAGAGTTTTGGGGGCGAATTTTGGGTGAACTTTGGGTGAATTTCGGTCGCATTTTCACCGAATTTTGATGGAATTTTGCCAAAATTTTGCCGTTTTTCACTGGAATTTCATGGGAACTTCGGGATTTTTTTGGGAATTTTGGGAATTTTTTGGGAATTTTGGGATTCCTGACCCTTCCATTTTTTGACTTATTAGAGCTGGATTTTGGGACTGATTTGGGATGAATTTTGGTCGCATTTTCACCAAATTTTGATGGAACTTCACCATAATTTCACCGTTTTTCATCGGAATTTCACCAAAATTTCACCTTTTTTCACTGGGATTTTTGGGAATTTTTGGAATTCCCAAAATTCCCGATTTTTTCGCAGCTTTGGGAGCCCTGGGGGGCTGCGTGGAGGTGGCGTCGGGCACCGAGGCCGTGCTGGACTCACTTTGGGGTTGATTTGGGTGAATTTCACTGAAATTTTGGGATTTTTTCATGGGAATTTTTGGGAATTTTGAGATTTTTTTAGGAATTTTGGGATTCTTGACCCTTCCCCCATTTTTAGAGTTTTGGGGACCGATTTTGGGTGAATTTCGGTCGCATTTTCACCAAATTTCAATGGATTTTCGTGGGAATTTTTCCGTTTCTCACCGGAATTTCCCCGGAATTTTGCGATTTTTTTTGGAATTTTGGAAATTTTTTGGGAATTTTGGGATTCCTGACCCTCTCCGTTTATAGAGTTTTGGGAGTTCAATTTGGGGCTGATTTGGGGTGAATTTTAAGCATTTTTTAACGGATTTTCGCCATAATTTCACCGTTTTTCGTCGGATTTTCACCGTTTTTTACGGGAATTTCGCCGGAATTCCGCGATTTTTTTTGGAATTTTATAATTTTTAGGATTTTTCCCATCTTTTCCAGTTTCAGGAGCGCTGGGGGGCTGCGTGGAGGTGGCGTCGGGCACCGAGGCCGTGCTGGACTCTCCCTTTCGCCTCCTGTGCATCGCCTGCAAGCGCCGCAGCGAAACCCCGGCCGAGGCCGAGAGCGAGTGGTTCTTCCGAGCCGAGGGGGAGTCCCAGTTCAGCAAGGTCACTGGGATGGACTGGGACAAACTGGGACAAACTGGGACAAACTGGGATGGACTGGGAGGGGATTAGAGTGGACTGGGAATGGATTGGAATGGACTGGGATGAACTGGGAGGGACCGGGAGGGGATTGGAGTGGACTGGGAGGGACTGGGATTTAGTGGGAGATACTGGGAGGGAGATAAAGGGGAGTTATAAAGGGTTAAATGGGAACTGGGATGGACTGGGATAAACTGGGATGGACTGGGAGGGACTGGGAATGGATTGGAGTGAACTGGGAGGGACTGGGAGGGGGTAAAAATTACTGGGAGTGAACTGGGATAAACTGGGATGGACTGAGAATGGATTGGAGTGAACTGGGATGGACTGGGATAGATTGGGAATGGACTGGGATGGACTGGGATGGACTGGGAATGGACTGGGATGGACTGGGAATGGATTGGAGTGAACTGGGATGGACTGGGATGGACTGGGAGGGACTGGGAATGGATTGGAGTGAACTGGGAGGGACTGGGAGGGGGTAAAAATTACTGGGAGTGAACTGGGATAAACTGGGATGGACTGAGAATGGATTGGAGTGAACTGGGATGGACTGGGATAGATTGGGAATGGACTGGGATGGACTGGGATAGATTGGGAATGGACTGGGATGGACTGGGATAGATTGGGAATGGACTGGGATGGACTGGGATAGATTGGGAATGGATTAGAGTGGACTGGAATGGACTGGGAATGGATTAGAGTGGACTGGAATGGACTGGTAGGGAGATAAAGGGGAGTAAATGGGCACTGGAAAGGGTTAAATGGGAACTGGGATGGACTGGGAATGGATTGGAGTGAACTGGGTTGGACTGGAGGGGACTGGGAATAGATTAGAATGGACTGGGATGGACTGGGAAGGAGATAAAGGGGAGTAAATTTGGGTTATAATGGGTTAAATGGGAACTGGGAGGGACTGGGAATGGACTGGAGCGAACTGGGATGGACTGGAATGGACGGGGAGAGAGATAAATGGGAGGAAATGGGGGTTATAAAGGGTTAAATGGGAACTGGGATGGACTGGGATGGGCTGGAGTGAACTGGGATGGACTGGGATGGACTGGGATGGACTGGGAGGGAATAAAAGTTACTGGGAGTGAACTGGGATAAACTGGGATGGACTGGGAATGGATTGTAGTGAACTGGGAATGGATTGGAGTGAACTGGGATGGACTGGGAGGGACCGGGAATGGACTGGGAGGGAATAAAAGTTACTGGGAGTGAACTGGGATAAACTGGGATGGACTGGGAATGGATTGGAGTGAACTGGGATAAACTGGGAGGGAGTAAATGGGAGTTATAAAGGGTTAAATGGGAACTGGGATGGACTGGGAATGGATTAGAGTGGACTGGGTTACTGGTTTTTACTGGTTTCTACTGGTTTTTACTGGTTTTAACCAACTTTAACCAATTTTAATGGGAATTTCACTGTTTTTAATGGGGTTTTCACCAATTTTTACTGGTTTTTACTGGTTTAAACCGATGTTAACAGGGTTTTTCAGATTTTAACCAATTTTAATGGGGATTTCACTGGTTTTTACTAGTTTTTACTGGTTTTAGCCAACTTTAACCTATTATAACGGGGTTTTTTCCCATTTTAACCAATTCTAATGGGATTTTTTTGGTTTTTTCTCACTCTAACCTGTTCAGATCCTGCACTCCAGCCCCGAGCAGGGTCAGTGGGTGGCGCCGGGGCCGTTTTTCGGGTGCTGGACTGGAACGGCTCGCGGGGCAACTGGGATGGACTGGGATGGACTGGGATGGACTGGGATGGACTGGGATGGACTGGGATGGACTGGGAGAGGATTAGAGTGGACTGGGTTACCGGTTTTTACTGGTTTTTACTGGTTTTTACTGGTTTTGACCAATTTTAACCAATTTTAATGGGGATTTGACTGGTTTTYACTGGTTTTCGCCAATTTTAACTGATGTTTGTGGGGTTTTTACTGGTTTTTACTGGTTTTAACCAACTTCAAGCAGTTTTAATGGGGATTTCACTGGTTTTTATTGGTTTTTAGTGTTTTTTACTGGTTCTAACTGGTTTTAATGGGGATTTTTCTGTTTTCTACTGGTTTAAACCGATTTTAATGGGGATTTCACTGGTTTTCACTGGTTTTAACTGATTTTATCAGGGATTTCACTGGGTTTTACTGGTTTTTACTGGTTTAACCAATTTTAACTGGGATTTCACTGGTTTTAACCAATTTTAACGGGGATTTCGCTGTTTTTTTGCTGGTTTTTACTGGTTTTAACCAACTTTAACCAATTTTAATGGGAATTTGACTGGTTTTAACAGATTTTAACTGGGATTTCACTGTTTTTTACTGGTTTTAGCCAACTTTAATAGGTTTTTTATTCATTTTAACGGGTTTTTTTCTCATTTTACCCGATTTTAGCGGGGTTTTTTTTTGGTTTTAACCAATTCTAACTGGTTTTTACTGGTTTTTACTGGTCCAGATCCTGCACTCCAGCCCCGAGCAGGGTCAGGGGGTGGCCCCGGGGCCGTTTTTCGGGTGCTGGCCTGGAACGGCTCGCGGGGCAACTGGGATGGACTGGGATGGACTGGGAATGGATTAGAGTGGATGGGGTTACTGGTTTTTACTGGTTTTAACCAATTTTAATGGGGTTTTCTCCATTTTTTTCTGTTTTTTACTGGTTTTAACTGGGATTTCACTGGGTTTTACTGGTTCTTACTGGTTTTAACCAATTTTAATGGGGATTTTACTGGTCTGTTCTGGTTTTGACCGATTTTAATGGGGTTTTTTCAGATTTTAACCAATTTTAATGGGGATTTCACTGGTTTTTACTGGTTTTTATTGGTTTTAACCGATTTTAATGGGGATTTCACTGGTTATTACTGGTTTTTACTGGTTTTTACCAATTTTAACCCATTTTAATGGGGATTTCACTGTTTTCACTGGTTTTAGCCAACTTTAACCAATTCTAATGGGGTTTTCACTGGTTTTAACCAATTTTACCAGGGATTTCACTGGTTTTCACTGGTTTTAACTGGTTTCAACCGATTTTAATGGGGATTTGACCGGTTTTAACGGATTTTAACGGGGTTTTTTTCTATTTTTTTCCATTCTAACTGGTTGTAACTGGTTGTTACTGGTTTCCCACCCCAGATCCTTCACTACAGCCCCGAGGAGGGTCAGTGGGTGGCCCCAGGCCCATTTTTCGGGGTGCTGGCCTGGAACGGCTCGCGGGGCAACTGGGATGGACTGGGATGGATTAGAGTGAACTGGTTTT